AGTTCCTTCAGTTTATCTTCCATTGAGTTCTTAATTTCTGCTATCATCATATTTTAAATATCCAATAGCTTCTTTGTGTTCTTGGAGTAGTTATTTTTTAAAAAAAAATAGCATCTTGTTCTTGTTTCAAGAGCGCAATATTGTCTTTTATTGCCCTGGGGATATTCATGATTGTTTAAAAAGATTCTTCTTCCTGCATTTTCTCCACTTCTTCACATTTTTTTTTCTTTGTTTGTATTTTTCATTTTAGGGGATGTCCTCAGGTGGGACTCTTGATTGCCTGGTTAAGAGTTGGGGACCAAAAAGCTAAGTAAGGTTCATTGACTGTGAGCCTCCTCGTGGGGTCCTCTGGCACCATCCTTAGTGGGGAACCTCGGATATCAGTATCTCCAGTTCATTCCTCTTGGGCCATTGGAGTCTCCAAAGACAACACTTCTTATGTCCTTCCTGGAGGGTGAAGACCAGAATGCCAGTATTCTGGGAGCCTAGTAGAGGAAGAGGGTTGAGGGGGGACTGGCAATGTGTTTCAGAATCCAGTGTTCAGAGTTTACTTACTACTCTTACTTTCAGTGTAGTACACGTGCCTTCAACCTTGCATTTTGAACCCCAAATCAGAGACTTTCTGTTTTATCTTCTCCAGTGAATACGTCTCTAGCCTTTTGCTGGGGTGGTGGAGAGGCAGTCCAGCTGTAAGGAGTGGCAGGTCTGATATTCTTCAAATTGCTAATTCCTTTTGGGGATCCTATAATGTAAATCAGATTGGTTTTCAACTTTCCCTCCTGGTGGCATGGAAACTGTCAAGTCTTTACTTCATTCTTCCAAAATTCTGTTGATATTGTCTCCTCTTTACTTTCTTTCTCTTGAGAGATAGAAATCCATTAAAAAACCCCTTTGCTGCCATTTTAGAGTGCTCTCTTGAGGGAGGAAAAAAAGTACGCGTGAGAGTTCGATGTGTTTTCTTTATCCAGTCCAGTTGTTTTAAATTTTAATGAGGTCAAATTACATTTTTCATTTTAGTTTATACTTTTGTGTGTTTCTATGAAATTTTTCCTCACCCTGAGTCTCTATCATTTCTGTGGTTTTTGTTTTTTGGGGAAGATTAGCCCTGAGCTAATATCCGCCACCAATCCTCCTTTTTTGCTGAGGAAGATTGCCCCTGAGCTAACATCCATGCCCATCTTCCTCTACTTTGCATGTGGGACACCTGCCACAGCGTGGCTTGACAAGCCATGCATAGGTCCACACCCAGGATCTGACCTGGTACACCCTGGCTGCCGAAGCAGAATGTGCGAACTTAACTGCTGCGCCACTGGGCCGGCCCTCCTTGTCTTTGATTTTTATTCAGTTTTTCTCTGCAATTATTTCTGTTACTTTCTCTCTTTCACATTCTGTGAATAACTTTACCCTTTTTTTTTTTCTTTTTTCTAATTTTTTGGTTTTAAGATTTACCTCATTAATTTTTGGCACTTATTCTCAAATGCATGCTTTTACGGCTATAATCGTCCCTCTAAGTCCCATTTTGTTTGTACCCCAAAAGTTTTTGTAGAAATTTTATTTTACTGTGGTAAGAACATCTAACATGAGATCTACCCTCTTAAATTTTTAAGAGCACAATACAGTATTGTTAACTATAGGTACAATGTCACTGAAACTTAGTCGTCTGGCTTAACTGAAACTTTACGCCCATTGATTAGCAGCTCCCCGCTTCCCTCTCCCCCCGTCCCTGGTAGCTACCATTCAGCTCTTTGACTCCATGATACCTCATGTAAGTGAAATCATACAGCATTTGTCCTTCTGTGGCTGGCATAATTACATATTATATAAAATGACATTTAGCATAATGTTCTCAACATTCATCATGGTGTCACATATGGCAGAATTTCCTTCTTTATAAAGGCTGAATAATATTCCATTGTATGTATACACCACCTTTTCTTTATCCATTCATATATCGATGAACGTTTTTGTTGTTCCCACATCTTAGCTATTGTGCATAGCACTGCAATGAACGTGAGAGTCCCAGTGTCTTTTTGAGATTCTCATTTAAATTCTCTTGGGTAAGTACCCCAAAGTGGAATATCTGGGTCATATGGTAGTCCTATTTTTAATTTTTTCTGGAACCTCCATATTGTTTTCCATAGTGGCTGCACCATTTTGCGTTCCCATCAACAGTGCACAAGGCTTCCAGCGTCTCCACATTCTTGACAACACTTGTTGTCTTCTGTTTTTTTGATAATAACCATCCTAATGTGTGTGAGGTGATACCTCTTTGTGGTTTTGATTTGCATTTTCCTGATGATTAGTGATGTCGAGCATCTTTTCGTATACCCATTGGCCATTTGTATATCTTCTTTGGAGAAATGTCTGTTCAAGTCTTTAGCTCATTTTAAAATTATTAGTTCTTTTGTCAATAAGTTGTAGGAGTTTCTTATGTATTTTGGAAATTAGCTCCTTATCAGGTATATGGTTTGCAAATATTTTCTCCCATTCCATAGGTTACCTTTTCACTTTGTTGATTGTTTCTTTTGCTGTGCAGAAGCTTTTTAGTTTGATACAGTTCCACTGTCCATTGTTGCTTTTGTTGCCTGTGCTTTTGGTGTCATACCTATGAAATCATTGCCAAGATTAATGTCATGAAAGTTTTCTCCTGTATTTTCTCCCAGGAGTTTTATAGTTTCAGGTCTTATGTTTAAGTCTTTAACACATTTTCAGTTGATTTTTTCATATGTTATAAGGTAAGGGTCCAATTTCATTCTTTTGCATGTGGATATACCGTTTTCTAAACCATTTGTTGAAGAGACTATCCTTTCTCTATTGTGTATTCTCGGCGCTCTTGTCAAAAATCAGTTGACCGTATATGCATGGATTTATTTCTAGGCTCTCTATTCTGTTCTTTCGGTCTATATGTCTGTATTTATGCCAATACCATACTATTTTAATTACTGTAGCTTTGTAATATATTTTGAAATCAGTAAATGTGATACGCTCCAGCCTTGTTCTTCTATCTCAAGATTACTTTGGCTGTTTAGAGTCTTTGTTTTCATATGACTTTTAGAATTGTTTTTTCTGTTTCTGTAAAAAATGCCACTGGAATTTTTGTACAAATTGCATTGGACATGTAGGTCACTTTGTGTAGAATAGACATTTTTCGCAATATTAAATCTTCTAATCTATAAACACAGGATATCTTTCCATTTGTTTGTGTCTTGTTTAATTTCTTTCATCAAATGGTCAGGGAAAGACCAATTTCCACTTATAAGAACTTACAGTGGCTGTAATTTGTTTGCAAAGACTTTTCTTAGAGAAGGGACAGCTGCTGAGATGAATTCAAGGGTGGTGGGCAGTGCATTGAGAGAGGAGAACTACAGAGCAGTCAGAACATAATATTTGTAAGAATCAAGTTTTCCGGAACATTCTGGAGCTGTTTTACATAGGGTCTTGTGATAGGGTAAGCCTTCTTTGTTTTCCTTTTTCAATGTTTTTGGTAATCGTTTACTATATAACCACTTAAAAATACTTTCTAATGTATAAGGGAAATTAATTTCTCCCATATACTGATTCCCTATGTCAAGCTGGATTGCAAGGGCACGAAGCAGCTAGGGGAACAATGAGAGGGAGGGAAGGGGACAGTGCACAGTATCTCAGGTGAAGACTCAGGTGTGGGTGGGGGCTCCCTGTTTGACCAAAGGGAGACTGGATAGCTCTGTGTGCTTATCTGCTGGTAGGTGATACATGGTGCTCAGTCCCCAATAGTTAGAATACGTGCGGTTTGGAGCCTGAGTAGAAATAAAATAAAAGTAGCTATTAATCCTATGCTCTAGAGATAACCACCATGATTGTTTTGATGTAATTACTTCTAGTTTTTTCCTATGCATACATAAAATATATAATTACAAAATTAAGATTCTACTGGAGGGAGATTTTTGTATTGCTTTTAAAAAGCATTATATTATGTTGAATTTTCCCACATGATTAAATGTTTTTGAAAATGAATTTTTTTTCAAAGATTGGCACCTGAGCTAACATCTGTTGCCAATCTTCTTCTTTTTTTTTTCTTCTCCCCAAAGCCCCCCAGTACAAAGTAGTAACAGTAATTCTAGTTGTATCTGACTATTTCTTAAAGACAAATTCCTAGAGAGAGCTCACTTGGTCGCAGGGACTCACACCCCCTCAGAGTGGAGTGGTATCAGCCACAGGCTCCTGTCGTGTTTGTCCGCGTCCTGCCGTTTCCTCTCCTCCAGCCCGTCCCTCAACTGGCATGAGTTTGAGCAGGCTCTTGGCTTTCGACTTCCTGCTGGTTTGGGCGCAGCCCTTCGTGGCTGGTGTTGCTCAGGAGATCTTGTGATGCTATCTATCCCTCCTCTTATCTCCTCCAGGTATCTGTTTTGCAGCAGTGAGAGAGAGGCAATCTTCTCTGCATCTCAGCTCAAAGCTCCACAGATGGTGGATCTTCTCTTATTAAGGTGGACTGTGAGGAGGGCCCTATCTGGCACCAACTGCCTTCCCTATATCATGTATCTAAATCAATGTTTCTCAACTGAAGGTGATTCCTGGCCCCCCAACCCCTGAGGGACATTTAGCAATGCCTGGAAACATTTGTAGTTGTCACAACTTGGTGGTGGAGGGGGGTGTTGCTACTGGCATCTAATGGGGAGAGGTCAGGGATGCTGTAAACATCCTGCATCTTGTTTGCAATTCAAAATGTTCTTAGTGATTCTGAATGTTACTAAAGATAAACTAGAATTGGTATAATGTTGTTGATTAAGAGAAGGAAGGATCTGGTGTAATTTCTTGTTTAAGTTGGAAATATGGATCCTGCTTCTCCAGGGAATCCCTTTCTCTTCTTTCCTTCCCTATTTTTTCTTCATTATTTCCTCTCTGTCTCTCTCTTGTACCCACACCCACACACCCACTCCCTTCAAAGCTTGTAGGCTGCCTGGGCTGGGAATCAGGTTGCTATGTGCTGGGAGAAGAGAGTATCAGAGAGAGGAGACACAGACTCAAGTCTGAAAGCTGGGTCTTTATTGAAGTTTATTGAGAATTCTGTACCTGGAGGAAACTTCTTGAGGTTTAGGGATGTGGCAGGACTTCAGTAGGAACCAGAGGCAGCTCCAGAGTGAGTGGTACAGAGAAGCTGCTCGGTTCCAGGTCCAGGTTTCCTCCCAGGCTGTCCTGGGCTCCAGGGTTAGTTCTCCTTGAGGACCTCATTGATCCAGGGCCGGTAATGGGAGATCTGGGTGAAGACAGCAGGAGGCTTTGCATCCACCCGGCCATAGGAGACAATGCCCTGGGCCACCCCAGCACATAGAAGAGGACCCCCTGAGTCTCCCTGTGGGTCAGAGAGAGAGAGAGAGACAGAGAGAGACAGAGAGCACAGAAGGTGAGCCAGGGAAGTAATCCACTCCTGCCTGTAGGTCCCACCTCTGAGTCATGGCCAGACCGAGGGTCAGACTCAGGAGCCCTGGCTTCTCATGGGGTCATACATCTCAGTCTGATGCCCCTTCTTTCTTTCCTTCTTGTCACCCCTGTGCCCTGGGCAGCAGCCTGGGAGGGATGGTCAGAGACTGCCTGGGGCCATAGGAGGACAGACCTGCAGAGGAGCAATTCCAGATTCCTCAGTCCTATCATCTCAAACCCCGTTGCTGACTGACAATCTTCTGACCTCATCTCCTTTCCGGAGATGCCTGGACCCTGAACAGTGATTTCTGGAGAAGAACCCTAGTCTGAGGATCACCTTAAATGCAGATTTGTCTTCCTTGGATTGCCAACACACAGCTGGAGATTGTGGTCAAAAGTCATAAACTGTCTGCAGGCCTGGGGATCCATGAGTCGCAGCTTCACCTCTTGCAGAGTGTTGGAGTCCAATACCTCTGCTTCTGTCATTCCCCAGCCAGCCACCAGGCACATCCTCCCAGGTGGGATGAAGTTGAATTGGGGTGGAAGGGGGAGTGTCCCCACAGCCAGGGTCAGGTTGACTTTCTTCTTCAACTGTGAAGGGAATGAGGGGCTGTCAGTGCTAGAAATGGGTTATGGGGCAGTTGGAGGCAAGCAGGGAGGGACAGGGCGGATGGCTCCACATTGGAGCCACGTCCAGAGGGGTGAGTTGGAGTTTGGGGGTGAAGTCCAGAGGCAGCTCGGGAAGTTTCAGGACAATGGGGACCTGAAGGAGAAGCCTAACAACAGGAAATGGAGAAGGGAAGAAAGATGTTGTCACCTTTAGTAACATGATGTCATAATGAGTATTTCAGTCGCCATATTTTGGATGAGGGAATTGTTTTGCAACCTCAAGCTTCTGCCATGTGTCTTCTTTCTCTTTTATGTTATGGGCTCCAAGGGTGACTGTTATAGACCTGTTGTGAGGGAGAAGGAAAGACAAGGAGACACAGTGATGGTGTGGGGTTTCTCCTGAGATGTGCCTATTCTGAGAAAAGAGGACTGGAGTCTCTCACAGGCCACTGGACTTTACCAATCCCCCCTTTCCTGGGCCATTTGTGCCATTTGAGGGGCTCTGGTTTTACTCAGGGAAGAGCTTTCTTAGGGAACAGAGTTAATTTTAAGGACCCTGGGGAGTTACTGGGGACCTAGCAGGCCAGGGATGACCCAGGGGACAGGGTTAGCACTTCCTAATTCAGGGAGCCCTGTATGAGGGCCAGCCCTCTGGAGCAAGAGATATCAGAGGAAAGGGGGAAGTGGTGGGGTCTCATGGGGACCCTGTTCTCTGTCCCCCATGAAAAGAATAGGTTCAGGTCTTTGAGAACTAAAGGCCAGTGTTCTTGAAAAGGACACAGAGGAAGTGGCCTGGGAACAGGGTGGGGCCCTAAAAAGTGAGTCACATATCTTATGTGTTGGGTGGGGGTGAGGAGGAGCTGCTTTTAGAGGAGAGACACTGGATGGGACCTACTTTTCCTTTGTAGGGGAGCTGAGCTCACAGTGACTGAGGATCGGGGCAGCTATTCAATTATGAAACCGATTTCCTTAAGCCCAAGTGTTGCCTTTTCTTAAAGTGACCCAGGCCCAGCAGCCCTTTCTTAGGCCCCCTGTGGGTGTGTCTCTGGGTGCTACCCTCCCAGTTGGAGATTAACAGGACCCTGTTGTCTCACCTTCCTGCACAGTGAGCAGCTGTCAGCACAAAGTCCTGTCTTATCAGGAAACCACCACAGGTCACCAGGGTATGCTGGGAAGTGACAGTTTCCAGGTAGGCCACGTAAGGGCGGGAGTGTGGCTTGCATTCTGTGCCTCCGATGATCTTGCCTGGAGCAGAGAGCCCCAGGGCCTGAACATAGGCATCGGTACTCTTTCTAGAGAGTGCCTAAGTTGGGTTAAGGTTGAGAAAGGCTTCTCTTGAATCTCATCCTCACCCTGTAGTCTGCCCGTCTTCCCTCTCAGGTTTCTCCCTGCTTTCCCCACCCACAACCTCCCACATAAATTCTCATTCCTTCCTCCAGGCACAAGAGCCAACCTGGCTTTAGATGTCATTCAGGCATTTTCACCTCAAATTTCCCCCACTCCCATTCTTCCCCCGACTCAACCCTCCTCTGTCACCATGCAGGATCCTGTCTCAACCTTCTCCACAGCCCACGAGTAGTGTCACAGAATGGCCAAATTACAGGGTAACGTGTAGCCCCGAAGTTCATAAGAAGAAGAGAACGTAGGACTTTATACACATTATCACATATTATATTGAGCAGATACCCCTCTTCCTTTCACCTGCTCTGGCTTTCCCCCAGTCAACGTGAGTTTCCTTATTCCTATGGTAGGAAGTACCATAGGCTGCAGAGTATGCATGGGCAGATCCAAAGTGGAAACTTCACTCTGGGCTCTTGAAAAGAGATCCTGGGATCCTGTTTAAGGGTCGGCACCCTTCGGACTGAACTTTGTTTTAGGAGCTGATCCTGCAGCCTACAGAATGGAGGACCCCGAGACTCACCAGCTTCAGCTCTGGAGCACAGGAGAAGGAACAGCAGGGGGAGAGGAAGACGATGCATCTTCTCCAAGAGGCTGCCCAGGGCAGGGACCACTTCTACTTTCCAGTCTTGAGTTTTATAACTCCCAGCAAGTGAGGGCAGGGCAGGGCTGGTAACCACAGAAACTGTGTGGTCATGTTTTTTTCTCTCATACTAAGCTGACTGTCTTTCTGATCAGAAGTTCCCCGAGAGATGCCCTCTGTTTTGCTAGAGGTGAAGTTGAGGCCTGAGTTCCCAAAGTCCTGTCTTCCAGGATGAGCTCTCAACCATGCTGCCTTATCTGGGGTGGGAGGTGGAAGGAATGTGTCTTTCCCAGTAAGGGCAGTTTGTTAAAGACCCATCAGAAACATGGGTTGGGGAGAGTCTTTACTTTGAGCGTTCAGAAGTATATGCACTTTTATGGCTATGACCCAACATAGGAAATGCATTGCAAAAAGACCAGTGCACATACATAAGTATGTGTGAGTACATGAGCGCAAACATGCACACATACAAATGAATCGTAAGTTCCAGGAAACAGTATTTATCGTTATCACATGCAATGCTCTGTTAGTTTCCATTCCATTTTATTCCGCTCCATATTAAAATGTGAGCAGCGCTCCATTTGAAGGATGATTACCTGCAATTTGAAAAACACTGATCTGGATCTCTCTCTTTCTGTGATTCAGCGTTCACTGACAGAAAAGAGAGAGATCCAAGGAGGGCAGATGAGAGAAGGGAACACTGTGTGATAGGACTTCACATACAGGATCACAAGAGCAAATGGGATTGGAATGAGCATTTTTTTTAAAAGATTTTTTTTTATTTTTTTCCGTTTTCTCCCTTAAGCCCCCCCGTACATAGTTGTATATTCTTTGTTGTGGCTCATTCTAGTTGTGGCACGTGGGACGCTGCCTCAACGTGGTTTGATGAGCAGTACCATGTCCGCGCCCAGGATTCGAACTGACGAAACACTGGGCTGCCTGCAGTGGAGCGTGCGAATTTAACCACTCGGCCACGGGGCCAGCCCCTGGAATTAGCATTTTTTGAGAGCCTATACATACCATGTATTATTACAAGTCTTAGATATATTACTATTTTTTTTTTTTTTTGAGGAAGATTAGCCCTGAGCTAACCACTGCCAGTCCTCCTCATTTTTGCCGAGGAAGCCTGGCCCTGAGCTAACATCCGTGCCTATCTTCCTCTACTTTATGTGTGGGATGCCTGCCACAGCATGGTGTGCCAAGTGGTTCCATATCCACACCCAGGATCCGAACCGGTGAATCCCGGGCCGCCAAAGTGGAACGTGCGAACTTAACTGCTGCGCCACCGGGCTGGCCCCTACTATTTTTGTAACAACCCAGTGAAGTAGGAATTCTTGTCTCAATTTTATGGATGTGGCTATCAAGGCTTATGGTTTAGAATTAGATTTTCCCAATTCCAAATCAAGGGTCCTTTCTGCTCTATCACCAAAGAGAAATAGAGAAATAGGGTCCTGTCAGTGGGGATGTAGCTGTAGAACGATGGTTTGTTCCGGGGGGGCTGGGGTTTCCTACTCTCATCTTATGAGTCAAGCTTGTTTTGCTGAAATAGAAGTTTTCCTCTTTTTCACAATGGTCTTGGGAATACCATTACTGTCACTTTACAAATGTAGAATTGAGAGTCAGACACATTAACATCACCTAGATTACACAACTCATAACTATCATAACTGTGTTTTAAGCACCTATCTGTTGTTTTCCCTGGACTGGGAGAAGCAGGGAGCCCAGGGAAGAGTTGGGTAACATGGGGGAGAGTCACTTCTCTTGGAGATTTATGAGGCATTTAGTTTAGAGATGGGGAAACAGAGAGGATAAATACTTTCCCCAAATCATTCTACCATGCCCTTGATTTCAGCTTGGGCTTGTGACTGGGGTGATCCATTCCTCGGTATATATTGGCTGGGTCCTCTGTTGCCCTCAGCTCTGACCCTCTCTAGACTAGAACATTTACGCATATTCCTAATGTCTGAGTCCCTGTACTAATTCTTTCACTCTCTAGGGTTGCCAGATAAAATACAGAATGCCCAGTTAAATTTCTATTTCAGGAGAACCCAAGTCATTTTTTAGTATAAATATGTTATTGTCTATCTGAAATTCAAATTTAACTGGGAATCCTGTATTTTTATTTGTTAAAGCTGGCAACCTTACTCTGGGCATTCCATCATCAGCAGAACAGAGGAGAATCTGGAGCTGGAGAAGTCCTGTCCTGTGGCCCTGCGCCTGTTGGAGCAAGAAGCAGAGGTGTAAACAAATTAAGAGTTTCTGTTTTTCACTGATGTAATGAGAAGTGGAGAGACAGGCAGTCCAGGGCTAGTATGATAGCTCCACAGTATCATTAAGGTTAAGATCCACCAAGATCCACTTTTTATTTCATGAGCACTGGCTGAGGGCAAGGGAGTAGAATAGGTACAGCTCCAGTCAGGTGACCAATTTCGGAAATGAGAAAATGCCCATATTTTCTTCCTTGCTCTGTCATGTGTGTATTTGCGTATTTTAACAGATTCCCTTTTTCTCTCTCCTATGCCCTCCTTCTGCTATTTTCTTTGTGGCATGTTGTTGGTGATGAACTTTACAGTTTAGTCTGTGGTATACAGATGTCAATTTGGGAGCATGACTAAATTAGAGGTGGAATGAGTATCACCTAGAGATCCTGTACTTGGAGCTGAAAGCAGTAACTGAAGAGACTGGTTATTGTAGTTCTGGAGAGAGCCAAGCCTCATTTTCCTTTGTATAAAAGGTAGTGAAAATTGTGTTCAATTTTTATTTTTAGGAAGGTTGAGTATGGAAAAAGCGTGCACATTCATGTTGGGCAGCCAAGTGATAGATTGTAGTGGACATCTGCCATGTATTTGGTGGATCTTTAGTGTCTTTTGAATACCCTTCCTGTGTTAGGGGAATTCTCAATTGTGGTTCTTGCCTTCCTAAGGTAGAATACACAAACTTCCTTCCCCAGATTGTTTTGCATCTAGGGCCTGACCATTTGACTGAGACTCTGCCCATCAGATGAAAGAGTGTAAAATTGGATTTAGAAGGGGATAACGTGAGGAAGTAGGCATTATGTGGAATTAATTTTTGTAGTGAGGGTGGGTGAGAGAGGGGTCTGACTTTGAGGGAAGAATTAGGTTCAGGTGTCTGGGCCAAGCCAATGGGCAGTGAGGCCTTTGCGGAACAGTCCTGTGGTGTAGTTTGGACATTGTTTCTGGCTCCAGATCCGATTCTATGGCATCTTGGGAGGCAGATGTTGGTTCTGGATAAGGAAGAATTTACTAATAATCAGTTGTTATAAAATGAATGTGTGGTGAGGGGAAGTAAGTGATTTCCCCATTGCTGGAGATATTCAAGTAGGGATTGGATGGAGTCTTGTTTAAGATTCACAATTAGCAAGAAGGTTAGGGTTAGACTTGATATAAAAGCACTGGCATTTAAGTGGTGGCAGTGATTCCTTACCCACTTTAATGCAGTAGGATCATCCTTTCTCTGAGTTCATGAAACATTTATTATCTGTGCCAATATTCACTTTGACATTCAGACCATGGAGTTGGCTTTGCAGTTAGATGAGGTGAGCTTGAATGCTGCTTCTGCCACTTAACTATCTGTCTGACCTTGGGAAAGTTTCTTAAGTTATCAGCCTTAGTTACTGTATCTGCAAAATATGAAAAATGATATATAACAGAGTTTTTGAAGAATTAAGTATGGTGCTAAATGTAAAATGCCACATGCTTGGTCCTTAATAATTGTTGGTTTTGTTTCTTTAACTGTATTATACCTTGTACTGCCATATAACCATTTGATGGGTAAATGATAGTTATGTCCTCATCGAGGCTATATATTTTTTCCTCTAACTTCCTTTAGACATATTACAAATTAATCAGATTTACAGACTTCAGTTGTTCTCTGCTTTGCACACATCTTGTTTTATTCGTTCAACTTTAGGCTGCTGGTTTATTTCTTAACCTTCTTTTTTTTTGAGGAAGATTCACCCTGAGCTAACAGGCATTGCCAACCTTCCTCTTTTTTAAATTTCTTGAGGAAGATTAGCCCTGAGCTAACATCTGTGCCAATCTTCCTTTACTTTGTATGTGGGATGCCTCCACAGCATGGCTGACGAGTGGAGTAGGTCCGTGCTCAGGATCTTAACCGGTGAACCCAGGCTGCCAAAGTGGAGTGCACAGAACTTTAACCACTCAGCTATGGGGCTCATCCCCTTAACCTTGTTTTTTGAGTATTAGCTGTGTCTTTTTGATTGAGTATGTGTATAAAAGTTGTTTTAACCCCAAAGTTGCCATGTAGGGATACAACACCTATAAACTTTTATAAATGTTGAGATGTCTTGTAAGAAATACTCTGGATAAGGGACAACTGATGGCGTGGACTTATGCCATCTTGCATCAGATTGAGACAGCAGTGCAATGGAGCAAGAACAGTACATCTTTTATGGTATTGGCCACATTTTCCTGAAGCAGGCTGGAGCTCACTCTGCTTGCCCTTGCAATAACCTCTACTTCCTTCTGTAGTTGATGATTCAGATGACTAAGTTCCTCTAAATTTAAAGTCTAAATTTAATTCCTACTAGCTTACACTCAATATCTGTAAAGTAATTTGTGAGGATATAAGCTCATTTATTTTACTATACACTTGTCTTAACTCCTAACACATTAGTTCCTTTTTAACTACTGCACTCTGCACAGTTTTTTTCAGTGGACAAATTATCTAGGAGAATGATGAATGGAGAGGTCCTGGGAGATGACCCTCAGTTTTGGACAGGGAGGAAGATGTCTCATGGTTGTCTGTCCTCACTTCTGTCCCAGGCTCTTCAGCAAGAACCCATAAATCTTTATTTTTTGGAGTTTCTTTCTGATATTTCTCTTTTCCATTCACTATTCCTGCAATGGGCTAGTATTTGAGGAGGGAAAGTCCTAGGGTGCTCATTCTGGTGAGTTTGGGCAAGTCCTTTTACCTGGACAGTTCCTCCTGTAGACTCTGTGGTGCCACCACCCTCCTTATCACTCTCAGCATCAGTCAGGCAGGCCCACTGCTTGGGCCATCATCTTCTGTACCTCAGAATTAACGTTGTAGC